CCCAGCAGGTGCCAAATCCCCATGGTTTTCCCCCAAACCCAGGGGCACTCTCCCCCTCCCCCGGGTCACCCCCACTGCTCTGGCCACAAACACCCCAAAATTGGAGGAACACCATCCCCCCTGTGGAACAGCACCCACTGGAGCCCACCCCGACCCACCACCTGCAGTTCAAGACACAGAAGAGCTCGACATCACTTTGTTTTTAATTTAAAGGAAAAAAATATAAATATATAAAATAATAAAATACGGGGGGTGGTGTGACTTAAATATGAGCCATGACGATTTTTCTGTTGGAATTTAACCAGTGCATTAAATCCACCTTACGGAGCATCCCCGGCTCCGGCGTCCCCGGCTGGTGATCCCTATAGATGGGGAGGGGGTCATGGCAGCAACCTGGTCCCCCAAATGCGTGGGGGGGGAGCACGTCATGCCACCCCGAAGCTCATCACACGGCTGCACCTCCGATTATTCGCCTTAAACCATCCACCCCGTGCTGTCAGCGCCTTAAATACACCCCTTGCCCAAATTAAAAGGACCAAGGGGGACGGTCGGGGACCAGGACTTGTCCCTTGTCCTTGGTGTCGGGATCTTCGGCCAGAGCTGGCGGCGGCGATGCCCCTTTCCCGGCTCTGCCGCTCGGCGCGGGTACCGGTGGGCAGGGATGCTGCCGCTGCTCAGAGAGGGCTGGGGCATGATGGCAAAGTTTGGGCTCGCAGCGCTGTCGCGAAAGCCTCCACCTGCAAGGAGAAGCCAATTCAGAGTGCCGGATGGCACCGGGATGGTGCCGGCATGGCCGAGGTTTAAACTGGCTTGGACCGAGGGTGCGGAAATTATTTTTTCCATGGAAAAATGAAGATGAGGCAGAGGCTCAGAGGTTGGCACGACTCCGACGGCTGTGCCGGCGCTCCCGGCAGCGGGATGCCACCGAGCTGTGCCGCCTCGGCCATGCCCACCTGTGCCATGAGGACGCCCTGCGTGGCCGCGTCATGCTCGAAGTCCTTGTCCACATCCAGCACCAGGACGGGCACGTGCTTCACGTCCGCAAAGTGGACCCTGAAGAAGGGAGGGAGAGATGGGCTTAAAACAAATATACCCCCAAATCAGGGGGGGGCACCCCAAAACCACAGCTGGTCCGCGTGCCGGGGAGGGGAGCGCGGCGAGGATGGATTTGGACTCACTCCGTGGTCTTCTCCACCAGCCAGCGCTCGTGCTGGCCGTGGAGCTGCTGCAGGTACCCCAGCTGGATGCCCCCCTCCTCGCTCCTCGCCCTCCGCCGCAGCCGCTCCAGGCACGTCTGCACCCGCACGGGAGATGGGAGATTACCGGGAGAGACAGGAGACGGGAGGTTAACGGGATGCAGGGAAGATGGGAGGTTAACGGGAGAGACGGGAGGTTAATGGGATGCAGGCGCCCGGCAAAGCAGCCCGAGGGGAGGGACCGAAGCTGGGCATCCCTGGAGGATGCAGCAGCCCTCCCTCCCCAAAATCCCCTCTAGGATCCGTAGCAAAACTCCCACCGACATTCCCATGGGCACAGGAGCGGGTCCCGCTCCTCCAGGGCGGGGAGTTACGGTTAAAACCCAACACTTCGGTAATTCCAGGCACTCGCCAGGCTCCGAGCGAAGCCGAACCCCTGCTGCATCCCTCTCCCCGCTGAACGCGGGGGCTCTCGCCCGCCAGCACCCACCTGCGGCATCGCCCGCAGGTAGAGGAAGCCGTGGAGGGCGGCGCGGGGCCCCAGCTGCCGCAGGAGGAAGCCGTGCCAGTCCTGGTAAATCGCCCATTCCAGCGGCTGCAGGTGCCCGGCCTCGAAGAGGTTCTTGGCAAAGACGTACCTGGGAAGAGACGGAGAGAAGGGAAAGGGCAGCCGGCACCACTGCCATCAGGACCTCCACGCCATCCCCAGCCCAAGTGGCTTCACGGCCATTTTTTTCACCTTTTTTGCACCAACTGGGAACGGCTGGCGTTTAATTAAGGCGGAAATCCTTAATTTGGGGCTGAGCGATGTTGGGGGGGACACAGCCACCCGGTGTGGCCCACCACTACCGAGCCCATCCATCCCCCCAGGGATGTCAAGCCACCGCCTGACAGGGGCGAAGGTTATTGCAAAAATTATTTGGGGGATAACGAAGCCCCAAATTATCCAACAAGCGCATTGCTGTAATTAAGCATCACTCCGGGCTTCGCTGGGGACAGTGGCTCTGCTCACCCCAGGGGACACAACCCAAGCGGCGCAGACGCTCGTTCTCCCATTTAATCCCTTCATCCCTCTTCTTTCGTATTTTAATTTGGGGGTGCCGGGTACCTGTCGCTGTAGACGGAGCGCTCGAAGACCCGCACAGGGTGGGGGTTCCCACGGAACCGCTCAGGCGGCGGCTCCAGCATCGCCTTCAGCCGGCTGAGGCAGGAGAAGGTCTGGAAGGTGTAGGACCACCGTGCCGGCTCCTGGTACATCATCTGGAGAAGGTTGGTGGAGCCCACGGACGCCTACGAAGGAAGGAAGAACTGGAAGTCGAGGTCGTCCCGCCGCGGCGGGGTTGCCGAATGGTGCCGAGACTCGACCGGTACCCGCCAACCGGTACCCGCCATTACCTCCGCCGTGCCGCCGGCTGGCACCTTTTGCCACTGTGCCACGGGTTCGGTCACCAAGTGCCACTCGGGGAAGGTGGCACCCAGCAGCTTCAGGAATGTTGATTTCCCCACGGCTGCGGGGGGGTGGGGGGGTGGGCAGGGGGGGCCTCCTGGTGTCCCCC